AAAGGCCTAACAAAGTTTGAAGGCCTAACTTTGAAGGCCTAACTTGTGTAAGCTGTAACAAGTAGATAAGAAACACATATAATATACACAGGTAAGACCCTCCAAGTAATTACTTTGCAGAAAAAGCAAAGAAAAATGCACAGAACCATATGTGATCCATATGACACCTAGGAAAAACTGAATATCTACACCAACCCATTAGATTTTTCAGCAACTCTTTCATCTGCCCTGTCTCTGTGCAGGCAGAATGCTCAGACATCACCCAGCAGGGACCCCTTTGCAGACAGACACCACTGGAAGAAGTTTTCCACACAACTTCTCCTTATGGAGAACAGGGATCACAACACAGGTCCACCCATATGTACTCTGCTCATCACTGATACTTGAAGAAATGTAACATGTTCCAACAGGCATAAGCAATATGCAACTCAATTAAAGACTCAGATCACAATCAACTCAAAGACATCATCATTCTTCCTAAGCACATGGACATTCTAGAATATATGTCACTCTGTAACCATTAATATGACGTTTATGTCCACATCCAAGAGCTACCACTCACAGGGAAGAGGTGTATCAGACATGATAGAAGAAAAAATGAGTGACTTTCTGGCACATGCTTCAAATAAAAAGCCCCAAACCCAGACTCTGCAGGTAAATTCGACTCTCCCATCCCTACAATCCTACCAATTTCACTACCAACAAACCATCAGCAGTAACATCATACAAGCAAGAGCCATTAATAACATCTGAAGGTCTGCTCAAGGCTTGGGAAAGCTTAGTACAACCACAATGAAACTCTACCTCATAACTCTAACAAGGACATATAGCTGGGGAAATGATATTTCCCACAGCATTTCTTAGACACAGAAGCCCTGAAGCATGCACTTCCCTGGGCATTGATAGTGGACAAATTCATTGGAGGATTGCCATCCTTCTTTGGACACGGGAAAAGGGCACTTGCTTTAAGTGCCACAGGCCTTGGCACCAGGCATGGCATGAAGGCACACTCAGATTACTGGATCATAGAACCCACCTTTGTCTGCTTCAGGGCCAGTCTCTCCCTGGGGCCGATCCCTCTCTGACAAGTAAGATCAGTGATTCTATTTTCAGATAAATTTTCAGACACACACAGGCCCACCGTTACCTGGTCATGACAAACAAGTCAGTGGTTCAACTATCATTCACAGAGAGCGCCCCATTACAGGAAAGCAAATGTATGAATCCACAGCTTGGTCATGTATAATCTGAGCATATTCGTTTTATGTAGTCCAGCAATGGACCATGCAAGTTAAAAAAGCACCTGCTTTCTCTCCAGGAGTATTACCTCATACACTGCACCTGAAAGAGTCTCCTCAAACTCGTTACAGATTGTATGGCTCTCTCTGATCTTTACCATTAGCAGATGTACTCCACTGAAGAAAAAGTTCTAGAGACAACTTGCCATGGCCAATATTTGACTTCTTAATGAGTGCACATGAGAAATAAGAATAATTCTCCCATTAAAAATTGAAGGAAACACATCTATCAATGTCTTTCCCTGTCGAGTTGTAAAAATGTAAGGCACGTATGGGACAGCCAAGAAAATGTAAGAGCTGTGATCAGATACTACCAGATACGAAGGCCCAGCTTGAGATCAATACAAAGAATAAGACAATAAGATAACATCTGCAGAAATGAAGGGATCACGCTCATCTGGATTACGGCTCTTGGAGAAAATATGCAATCTAAATATTAAAAGTAGGGATGTAGTGAATTTCCTTATTGCAAAGCTCCCATTGTGACATTTCAGATTGGAATATATAAGGCTATTAATTAAATACATTCCATGAACCTGTAAATACCCAATGGGTCTCAATAGAACTGCAGTAATATCTGTTAAGACACACATATTGTGAAGGATCAAATTGCATTACATAATACTAGAAATGGACACTGAAACCTTGTATCCATTAGCAGTCATTCACACACAGAGCCCAGTATTTGCATCTCCTGCCTCTAAAATCCTGAATATTGTTTCTTGACCTTGATACTTTGAAAGCAGCTTCCATCAAAAGGCCAGCTATTCAGACCATTTCCCTTCAATATGCACCAGATAACCTATGGCCTTCAAAGAGCTATCCTTATAACTCTGTACTAAGAGGAAAGAAATATTTGTCTGCCAAATATATCTCAGTGAAGAAGCAGAAAGGAGATTAAACACTACCTCTCCAGCAAAAGATACTGAGGAAGTGAGGATCATATGATATAGAAACAACTTCATTAAAAACCTCTCCAGCCAAGAGCAGTCTCCCTTATCATGCAACCGTCACAAGCTGAAAAGCTCGGACCCAGCCCATGTCCATCATGGTGCAGCAAGATGTCCCGCAATCAGCACATCCCTAAAAGATACTTTTCCATCCTTGTCAGCAAACATCGATCTGAAGGACACAGAAAACGCCGGAAATGAGCAGACAAGCAACAGAATAAAGAATAATGGAGAAAAACTGGTACGGGGAACTCACGGGGCCAGAGGCGGAATCCACGGGACGAGCGCCGGCAGGATCCTCGTCGCCGAGCAGCGGCGCGGGCTCGTCGGGCGGCGGCCGGGCCGGGAGGGTGTCGCAGCAGCTGCCGGCCGAGAAGCGCAGCTGGCTCTTGCGCGAGTCGGCCGTGAGCGACACCTCGTGCGAGTAGGACTGGAGGAAGGCGCGCACGCCGTCGATGCCCACGAAGTGCGACACGGGCACGCCGCGCAGGGCGCCGCTGTCCGCCGGCAGCAGCTGCTGGCGGCGCCAGCGGCGCAGGCGCAGCGCCAGCAGCAGCAGCAGGAAGGCCACGAAGAGGCACGACACGGCGGCCACGGCCAGCACGAGCCAGCGCGTCAGGCTGGCGGCCGGCTCGCCCGGCGCCGCCGCCTCGGCGGCCGCGCTGCCCAGCTCGGCCAGCAGCTCGGCCACGCTCTCGGCCAGCACCACGCTCAGCGTGGCCGTGGCCGACAGCGCCGGCCGCCCGTGGTCCTTCACCAGCACCACCAGGCTCTGGCGCGCCGCGTCGCGGGCCAGCGGCGAGCGCGCCGTGCGCACCTCGCCGCTGTGCAGCCCCACGCGGAACAGCCCCGGCTCCGTGGCCTTGGCCAGCTCGTACGACAGCCACGCGTTCTGCCCCGCGTCCGCGTCCACCGCCACCACCTTGGCCACCAGCGCGCCGGCCTCCGACCAGCGCGGCGCCAGCTCCACGCCCGACCACGCAGCGCCCGAGCCCGCCGCTAAAGCCGGCGGCGGGTACAGCACCTGCGGCGCGTTGTCGTTCTCGTCCACGATCTGCAGCCGCACCGACACGTTGCTGCCCAGCGCCGGCGCGCCGCCGTCCTCCGCACGCACCCACAGCTGCAGCTCGCGCAGCTGCTCGTAGTCGAAGGAGCGCAGCGCGTACAGCGCGCCCGTCTCCGCCTGCACCGACACGTACGACGACAGCGCCGCGCCCCGCACCCGCCCCTCCGCCAGCCGGTACCGCACGCGCGCGTTCTGCCCCCAGTCCGCGTCCGTGGCGCGCACCCTCAGCACCAGCGCGCCCGCCGCGTTGTTCTCCGACAGCCGCGCGCTGTAGCGCTCCTCCGCGAACACCGGCGCGTTGTCGTTCACGTCCAGCACCCGCAGCGCCAGCACCGCGCTGCTCTGCAGCGGCGGCGACCCGCCGTCGGCAGCCCGCACCGTCACGTTGTACTCCGACACCTGCTCCCGGTCCAGCTCTCTCGCTGTCACCACGCTGTAGTAATTGCCCTGAGAGCTCTGCATCCGGAACGGAACATCCCCATCCAGCGAGCAACGTATCTCTCCGTTCGCCCCCGAGTCCAGATCCTGTACATGCAACAGGGCCACCACCGTCCCCGTCGGGGAGTCTTCGGAAATCGCGCTCAGCGATGATTGCACCGAAATCTCGGGTGAATTGTCGTTGACATCTGTCACTGTAATAATAACTTTCGTTGTGTCAAAAAGCTCTCCTCCGTCATGTGCCTGAACCTCAAGTTCATGGGAGGAGATTTCCTCGAAGTCCAAGTAATTTTTAACCGTTATTTTTCCTGACTCAGAGTCCAGGTGGAAAAGTTCCGATGCCTGGTCTGAAATTTTATGGAAGCTGTATTTCACCTGCCCGTTCTGACCCTCGTCGGCGTCGGTGGCCGTGACGGTGACGAGGACAGAGCCCACGGGCACGTCCTCGGGCACACGCACCGTGTACTCCGCCTGGCTGAACACGGGCGCGTTGTCGTTCGCGTCCAGCACCGTCACGCGGATCCGAGCCGTGCCCGTCCGTGCCGGATCGCCGCCGTCCATCGCCCTCAGCACCAGCTCGTGAAACGCCGCCTCCTCCCGGTCCAGCGCCTTCGCCAGCACCAGCTCGGGACGCTGATCGCCGCCGGGGCCCGCCTGCACGGCCAGCGAGAAGTGCTCGTCACCGCTCAGCTCGTAGCTCTGCAGGGAATTCCTGCCTGAATCTGGGTCTTGTGCTTCTCGGAGGGGAAACCTCGCCCCCAGGGCTGTCATCTCGTTCACTCTTAATTCTTTTTCCGTCTCTCTGAAGCTGGGCTCGTTGTCATTAACGTCTGTTATTTCCACTTCTATTTGATAGAACTTCATTTTCCCCTCCACTATCAGCTCACAGCGCAGCACGCATTGCTGCACACGTTCGCACACCTGCTCTCTGTCGATCCTTTCTGCCGTCACTAAATGTCCCGTCTTCCCGTGCAGGGTAAAATACTGCGTCCTACCCTTGGAGACAACACGGACGGCATTATCGCGGATCTCCGGCAGCTGCAGCCCCAGGTCCTTGGCCACGTCCCCCACGAACGAGCCCTTGGGCATCTCCTCGGGCATGGAATAGCGCAGCTGCCCCCACGCCGCCTCCCACGCTGCCAGCAGCACGGCCCAGAGCAGAGCTCGCTGCCGCCGGCCCCAGCGCCTCCCCGCCGAGCACATCTCCGCTGCGGCACCGCAACACTACCGGGAGCTCTCCGCCGCCGCTCACCGATCTGGCTTCGCGGTGTAGCTCCGGCGCTCTGCTCCCGAGCGCTCCTGCCAGGCTCTTCCGACTCCCTTCAGCACCTCTCCGCACCGCGGGAACGACCGCAGACTGTTCCGCCGCCGACTCACACACCGGAGAGCGAGAGAGCGGATCCGCAGCGGGCGGGGCTGCAGCGCTCCGAGCTCCCGCTCGCTCCTCTCGGTCAACAGCGGCGCCCGCAGCCTCCTCCCGGCACTGCACGCAGTGAGATGGAATGGCGTTATTTTAATAGGACGTACGGAGCATTATGAGTCCTACCGCAGTAGTACAAAAGCAGAACTTTCACCACAAATATTTGTAGAAGACATGATGGAATGACCGGCGCAAGGGCAGCGAAAGAAAACCGTCTCTGATATACAGCTGTAGGCTACTTCATCACTCTGTGCCGACTGTATCTACAACTACCCAGGAGACAGGAAAGCTCCTGTATTGAACCTGTCCATTTTATACATAATTATATTCAATCAAGTCATTCTATAATCCCAGGAAGACATTTTTCTTTTCTCAGAAATAAGGATGCAAAGGGGTCGTTACCAAAACATTGTTCAGATTATTGTGTATTTAAGTAGCTATGGCACATTTTCAACAAAATACTTTCAGGCAGCGGGAAAAGAGAATTAAAGCTGCACACCTTAGACTCTGATGGCCATTGATAAATTTTCAAGTATACCTGATTCAAGTGCCTGAAGTGTCAATTGGCGACTCTCCTGCACATTTGATATTTATATTTGAATCTTAGAGCCTCATTATCCTTTTAAATAGACATTCATAAGAAATACTGGGGAGGGAGGGGTGGAAGGGGAACCAAACAAAAACCAACAAACCAAACAAACAAACAAACAAACAAAAACCCTAAGAGAACGAATTCCCTTTACAGGGTCAAAACAACTCTGTTTTTATAGAAGGATAAGGGAACAAGACCTGGAAACAAAAATATACAAATTTTTCCCCATTATTTGAGGCCTCAGTCTTCATTAACACATGTGCATGAAGAAAATACGAGGAAAGGTTAAAGAAAAAGAGGGAACTACCAGCCAGAATGGAAAAAGTAAATAAAACTAGCAAAATGAACTCATCTCGCTAATGGTACCAGTCCTGCCATTTCTGCAACAGTGTTCACCCAAAAGATGAGTGACAATCTCTTTTTTTACTCTAGAAGGAGAACCTGTCACTGTTCTATCCATGAGAAACGAGTCTTTCTGCAATCCAAGACCGAGCAAGTGTTAAAAAGGTGTATGTGCCCAGCCTTTAACCAAGTCCCAGAGTACATTTCCAGGATAAGCAGATCATTAGGGAAAAATCTGCAAGAGCTGCTATCTGCATTATTTCCCCGATTCCTTCATGAAGAACCAAGAATCTCCTGCACAGTTAGGATTCCCCATAACAGTTACTAATTCATACGATTTTAGTCAACTCTAGAGATGCAGACAATGCCTCTTAGATGAATCTGAAGCTGTGGCCAACGAAGAATCAAGCGCTATGGCTAATTGCCTATTCTTAGAAAAAGAAATCACCTCGTTCTTTTATTCCTTCTCGGAGACATGGACCAGCCATAACAACCTGCACTACCCGGGGAAATCCAAGGAAAAGAGGGCAACGGTTGCGAAAGATTCAAGGAGAACAGAAGGAACTCGCAGCTCTGCAGAAAGAGCTGCAGAGAAAAATTATGACTGGAATAAACAACCATTCCCGTCTACCACTCCTGAAGAAAACTTATTCCCAAATACATTCGACACTCTTCAAGCAGGGAGGAACAACCTTAATTTCTCTTTTCATGTCGAAAATGCTCACATCTCAGGACAAAAAAACCCTAAACAACAAGCAAACACAAGCCCCGACCTCCTAACAAACGAAAAGTTTTAATTCCCTTTTCGGAATTCTGTTACGTAGACTCAGTGGATCTCTCTCTGCAGAGCGAGAATCCGTGTTCTCCGATGAACTCACAAAATTTTGTCACAAAATCCTTTGAATAATCATGACTGAATAATATATATCTGTCCCATTAATGCTGCCCTTTCTGCAGGAGCATTCCCTCAAAACATGTGACATCACACGGCAATTTTGGAAACAGGATTAAAACACTCGTTTGCATCAGACAAATAATACTAGAGGAAAAAACTTGTCAGCAGCAACAGACGTAAAACATATGATGTAGCCTTATCTAGAAACATGGGTGGGCAAACAGAAGAGGGTTAGAACAACATGTAAATTCTCAATCAATAGAGCCAGATGCAGGTTCCCTTTCGGAGTAAATAGCAAAATAGAACGGACCGACAGCTACTGTCCAGATCACGACAAGTGTAGCAATCGGGGAAAACAGAGAAAGCCTGTTAAGAAAGGCATAAGGAGAACAGCAGGAACTCACGCTTTTACAGACCTGCGGTGCGTCCGGATTGTCAGGCACCTCTCCCTCGGCGGCGTTACTAATCGAGATCTGCTTCACCAAGGGCTCCCCGCCCAGAAGCTCCTCCGCCGACAGAACGGGCACCGGCGGCGGCGGCGGCCAAGCGGCCTCGGGCACGGCGCGGGCCGGCGCCGCCACGCACAGGTTGTAGGAGTAGGGCAAGGTGCCCTCGCAGAAGTCGGCCGGGAAGGCGGCGCCGGCCACCGAGAAGCGCTGCGCGCCCAGGCAGCGCAGCACGGCGGGCGGCCCGGCCCGGCGCAGCCGCGCCAGCGCGGCCAGCGCCACGCTCAGCACCAAGAGCGCCGAGAGCAGCGCCAGCGCCAGCACCAGGTAGAACTGCAGCTCGGCCGCCGCCGCCGCCTCCTCGGCGCCCGCCGCCCGCTCGCTCAGCTCCGGCAGCGCCTCCTGCAAGCTCTCGGCCAGCACCACGTGCAGCGTGGCCGTGGCCGACAGCGCCGGCTGCCCGTGGTCCTTCACCACGGCCACCACTCGCTGCTTGGCCGCGTCCCGCTCGGACACGGCCCGCGCCGTGCGCACCTCGCCGCTGTGCAGCCCCACGCGGAACAGCGCCGGCTCCGACGCCTGCACCAGCTCGTACGACAGCCACGCGTTGCGCCCCGCGTCCGCGTCCACCGCCACCACCTTGGCCACCAGGTAGCCGGCCTCGGCCGAACGCGGCACCACCTCGAAAGGAGGCGCCGCCCCTGCCGCAGCCTCGCCCGCCGCCGCCGCCGCCGGCCACAGCACCCGGGGCGCGTTGTCGTTGCGGTCCAGCACGAAGACGCGCACCGTGGCCGTGGAGCTGCGCGCCGGCGAGCCGCCGTCCTGCGCCCGCACCGCCAGCGTGAACTCGCGGCACTGCTCGTAGTCCAAGGAGCGCTGCGCGTACAGCGCGCCGCTCCGCGCCTCCACCGACACGAGCGGCGCCGCGCCCGCCGCGCCCGCGCTGCCGCCCGCCAGCCAGTAGCTCACGCGCCCGTTGGCGCCCGCGTCCGCGTCCCGCGCCTGCACGCGCAGCACCAGCGCGCCCGCCGCGTTGTTCTCCGCCACGTACGCGCTGTACGCCGCCTCCTCGAACACCGGCGCGTTGTCGTTCACGTCCGACACCTCCAGCACCAGCTCCCTGCTGCTCCACAGCGCCGGCCTGCCCCGGTCCCGGGCCACCACCGTCACGCGGTGCTCGGACGCCTGCTCTCGGTCCAGCGCGCCCGCCGTCACCACCTTGTACGAGCCTCCCGAGGACGCCACGATCGACAGCGGCGCCTCTCCCGACAGCTCGCACGACACCTGACCGTTCTCGCCCGAGTCCAGGTCATTTACATTAAAGAGAGCCACCACGGTGCCCACCGGGGCGTCCTCGGGCACCGGGCTCGAGAGCGACAGAATCCTGATCTCAGGAGGATTGTCATTCACGTCCAGCACCTCCACCTCCACCTTGCAGTGTGCCACCAAACCGCCGCCATCTGTCGCCTCCACAGCCAGGCTAAACGCGCTCGTGTCCTCGAAGTCCAGCGCCTCTTGAAGCGTGATCATCCCCCTGTGGCCATCCACCACGAATTTCTGAAGCACCTTGGCCGGCATCTCTCCGAAGCCGTAGGTGATGTGGGCGTTGGTGCCTGCATCAGCGTCTGAGGCTGACACGTTCAGCACTATCGATCCCGGAGGCGTGTCCTCACGCAGGCTGACGCGGTACCGGTCCTGCGCGAACACGGGTGGGTTGTCATTGGCATCGGTGACGTTGATCCAGAGCTGGGCGGTGCCTGTCCGGGGCGGGTCTCCGCCATCCAGCGCTGTCAGAAGCAGCCGCAGGCTTGGCTCGCTCTCCCGGTCCAGTGAGTGGCGCAGCACCAGCTCCGCGGGTTTGCTGCCGTCTTGGCTCTCTTTCACCTCCACCGTGAAGTACCCGTTGGCCTCCAGCTCGTACCCTTGCAGTGAATTACTGCCCACGTCAGGATCCTCGGCTATGCCCAAGTAAAATCGAGCGCCGGGTGAAGTAAACTCGTTGATCTCCAGCTGAAATTTGTTTCGTAGAAAGCGCGGTGAGTTGTCATTCACGTCCTCGATCACCACTTCAACGTGGAAAATGTTCAGCGGGTTGTGCACCAGCGCCTCGAAGCTGACGGAGCAGGTCGGCGACGCGCCGCACATCTCCTCCCGGTCCAACCTCGCGTTCACGTACAGGTTCCCGTTCTCCTCACTCACCGTGAAGAATTGCTTCTCCTCGCTCAGCCGCAGCTTGCGCGCCGGCAGTTCGTCCGCGCTGAGCCCCAGGTCCCGCGCCAGCGGCCCCACGAGCGAGCCTCTGCCCAGCTCCTCGGGGATGGCGTAGCGGAGCCGCTCGGCCGCCGCCCGGCAGCACACGCACAGCAGCACCGCGGCCAGCAGCGCTCGCCCGCCGCCCGGCCCGCGCCTCTGCCGCCGCCTCACCGCCATTCTCTGCCGCCGGCGCTCGCCGCGCTCCTGCCGCTGCCCCGCTTCCCTTCCAGCCGCTCTCGCCACGCAGCGCAGGGGCCGCCGCAGCGCAGCCAGCCCGCTCGGGCCGCCTCTCCCCGCCGCCGCCGCCGCTGCTGCTGCTGCCGGTGGCGGTGCCGCTGCCGCTGCGGCCGGCGCCGGGCGAGCGAGCAGCCTGCGGGGGCAGGACGCTGCGGCGGCGGCGGCGGCGGCTCCAGCGCCGCTCGGCGGCGGCCAACAGCGGCACCCGGAGGCGCCGCCGCGCCACTGCAGCCGCCGCATGGCCGCGCTCAAGGGGGCCCGGCCCGGCCCGGGCGGGGCTCGGCGGCTGCACCGGCCCCGGGCTCGGTCCCCGATTGCAAACAGCAAGAGCAGACCCACTTGCTTAACGACAAGTAGGAACCGTTATGATTGCAGCAGCAATATCTATGTGAGAACGATTTAATTGTTTGTAGCTGCAATACACATGGAAACAAGTATTACACCTTATCAAAGTTTTTTCCACACTCTGGTTTCAGATGGCACAAAAATCAGAAAGGAAATATGTGCTCCTAAAATACCAATTGGTTCTCTCATACGCAGTCTAGGAATTGAACCCTATATCTAAAAGCAAGATTGCTGAGATAATTTACAATTTAATTGTCCCAGTGGTACTTCAGATATTGTTTGCTCATCACCTGTGCAAAATCCATGTAAATCAAAAAGACGCTTTTACAGTGATTAACACTTGCAGAGAAATATGAAGCCAAGAAACGTCAATCTGCTCTCAGATAAATGACAATGTGCATACAAATGGCAGAGAGTAAGAAAGTGTAAAGCAGAACAGACTGTGCCTTGTGTCTGTCCTTAGACTGACTCTCCTTCCATACAGAAAACCTTCTGTGCTTTTGCTGGAAACTCAAAAAAAAGGCCTGCTACAATTATTGATTTACTCTTTCCATAGTTTTAATTTTCCTAACCTTTAGGCAAAAGTCTCAACATATCCCCACTCCGTTTTAGGACGGCAAAATCAACTGAATGGTTTTCAATGAATTCTGAAGATTCATATGCAAACCCCAAACTTGCATCTGTCCCCATCAGAGAGGGGGAGATAGTTCAGTGCTGTGATTTTTCTGGTGCTTCACCACAACACAGCCTTAAAAATTCTTTCCCAGAGCATGTGGAAACTCACTGAGGCCTCAAGGTGCAAATTAGGCAAGCTGCAGGAATATTAAAGGACTATGAGGTCTCTCTGACTGGACTAAATGACTTTACTAAGCAGCAGAACAACAGAAATGCTTCGCACTTACAATAGCAAAGAAGCTAAACAAAATACCTCCCACTGCCATCCATGGGGCCAAGCCATGGCTACTGTGACGCATCAGGGCCTGAGCAGTGCAGGAAATCACTGACAAAAGCACGTTGCTCTGTAGTCCTCAGAGACACAAGAAGAATCCCCAGGTAAGTGGAATTGGACAACAACATTTTACAGCTAACCACTTGAGTTAAGCAATTTTTCATTTTCCTCACACACAGCATTCTGTCTTCATTTGGTTCTCAATGGAAGTCACTATTTCCTGCAAAGCAGCACTCACAAGGGGGAAAGAAACATGAACCATGGCCTTCCAGGAAACAGAGCCTGAACTGAGATCCAGGGTGGAAAATGTAATTATGAACTATCAAGCTATGCACTTCCCCTCTTATCACATGCACAGATCCACAAAGATGTGACTTCTCCTAAAGTCATTTTTACATCTGCGAACAGATGATAAAATAGAGAAGAGAGATGAACCCCCTTCACAGGCCCTCATTCCACATCAGCTGTAATAACACGTCAAGGGAAAAAAAAAGAAAAAACACAGAAGCATTGCAGGGATTTAATAGGAGTTCTTTCAGAGAAACTCACCAGGAGGATATCTCACCTTTTCTGTGGACAAGGAAATTCATCCCTGAGAGCACCTGGAACCCACTGAGGTCTCAGGCTGGAAGTGTGACCTTGAAATCTTCTTCTGGACTACAAGCGTCACTTGACTGCATTAAACACTCAAGAGCTCTCATCAGCATTCCTGGCCTGGTCATGCCCCACAAATTTGAAGGCCTGACTTTGAAGGCCTTAATTTAAAGGCCTAACAGAGTTTTAAAGCCTAACAAAATTTAAAGGCCTAACAAAGTTTAAAAGGCCAAACTAATTTAAGGGCCTAACAGATTTTGAAGGCCTAACTAAGTTTGTAGGCCTTACTAAGTTTAAAGGCCTAACTTTGAAGGCTCAACAAAGTTTAAAGGCCTAACAAAGTTTGAAGGCCTAACTTTGAAGGCCTAACTTGTGCAAGCTGTAACAAGTACATAAGAAACACATATAATACACACAGGTAAGACCCTCCAAGTAATTTCTTTGCAGAAAAAGCAAAGAAAAATGCACAGAACCATAACTATGTGATCCATTTGACACCTAGGGAAAACTGAAAATCTACACCAACCCTTTGGATTTTTCAGCAACTCTTTCACCTGCCCTGTCTCTGTGCAGGCAGAATGCTCAGACATCACCCAACAGGGACCCCTTTGCAGACAGACACCACTGGAAGAAGTTTTCCACACAACTTCTCCTTATGGAGAACAGGGATCACAGCACAGGTCCACTCATATGGACTCCGCTCATCACTGATACTTGAAGAAATGTAACATGTTCTAACAGGCATAAGCAATATGCAACTCAATTAAAGACTCAGATCACAATCAACTCAAAGACATCATCATTCTTCCTAAGCACATGGACATTCTAGAATATATGTCACTCTGTAACCATTAATATGACGTTTATGTCCACATCCAAGAGCTACCACTCACAGGGAAGAGGTGTATCAGACATGACAGAAGAAAAAATGAGTGACTTTCTGGCACATGCTTCAAATAAAAAGCCCCAAACCCAGACTCTGCAGGTAAAATCGACTCTCCCATTCCTACAATCCTACCAATTTCACTACCAACAAACCATCAGCAGTAACATCATACAAGCAAAAGTCATTAATAACATCTGAAGGTCTGCTCAAGGCTTGGGAAAGCTTAGTACAACCACAATGAAACTCTACCTCATAACTCTAACAAGGACATATAGCTGGGGAAATGATATTTCCCACAGCATTTCTTAGACACAGAACCCCTGAAGCATGCACTTCCCTGGGCATTGATAGCAGAAAAATTCATTGGAGGATTGCCATCCTTCTTTGGACACGGGAAAAGGGCACTTGCTATAAGTGGCACAGGCCTTGGCACTAGGCATGGCATGAAGGCACACTCAGATTACTGGATCATAGAACCCACCTTTGTCTGCTTCAGGGCCAGTCTCTCCCTGGGGCCAATCTCTCTCTGACAAGTAAGATCAGTGATTCTATTTTCAGATAAAGTTTCAGACACACACAGGCCCACTGTTACCTGGTCATGACAAACAAGTCAGTGGTTCAACTATCATTCACAGAGAGCGCCCCATTCCAGGAAAGCAAATGTATGAATCCACAGCTTGGTCATGTATAATCTGACCATATTCATTTTATGTAGTCCAGCAATGGACCATGCAAGTTAAAAAAACACCTGCTTTCTCTCCAGGAATATTACCTCACACACTGCACCTGCAAGAGTCTCCTCAAACTCATTACAGATTTTATGGTTTACCATCATTAGCAGATGTGCTCAGCTGGAAGAAAAGTTGCAGAGACAACTTATCATATCTATATTCGACTTCTTAACGTGTGCATGTGAGAAATAAGACAAATTCTCCCATTAAAAATTGAAGGAAACACATCTATCCATGTCTTTCCATGTCGAGTTGTAAAAATGAAAGGCATGTCGGGGACACCCAAGCAAATGTAAGAGCAGTGACCAGATACTACCAGATACAAAGGCGCAGCTTGAGATCAATACAAAGAATAGGACAATAAGATAACATCTGCAGAAACGAAGGGATCACGCTCCTCTGGATTACGACTCTTGGAGGAAATACATAATATAAATATTAAAATTATGGATGTAATGAATTTCCTTATTGCAAAGCTCCCATTGTGACATTTCAGATTGGAATATATAAGGCTATTAATTAAACACATTAACCTGTAAATACCCAACGGGTCTCAATAGAACTGCAGTAATATCTGTTAAGACAAACATATTGGGAAGGAGCAAATTGCATTACATTATACTACAGATGGACACTGAAACCTTGTATCCATTAGCAGTCATTCACACACAGAGCCCAGTATTTGCATCTCCTGCCTCTAAAATCCTGCATATTGTTTCTTGACCTTGATACTTGGAAAGCAGCTTCCATCAAAAGGCTGCTATTCAGACCATTTCCCTTCAATATGCACCAGATAACCTATGGCCTTCAAACAGCTATCCTTATAACTCTGTACTAAGAGGAAAGAAATATTTGTCTGCCAAATATATCTCACAGAAGAAGCAGGAAGGAGATTAAACACTACATATCCATCAAAAGATACTGAGGAAGTGAGGATCATATGATACAGAAACAGCTTCATAAAAAAAGCCCTGCAGCCAAGAGCAGCTCCCTTATCATGCAACCCTCACAAGCTGAAAAGCTCGGACCCAGCCCATGTCCATCATGGTGCAGCAGGAAGCCCCGCAATCAGCACGTCCCTAAAAGATACTTTTCCATCCTTGTCAGCAAACATCAATCTGAAGGACACAGAAAACGCCGGAAATGAGTAGAGTAGCAACAGAATAAAGAACAATGGAGAAAAACTGGTATGGGGAACTCACCGGGCCAGAGGCGGAATCCACGGGACGAGCGCCGGCAGGATCCTCGTCGCCGAGCAGCGGCGCGGGCTCGTCGGGCGGCGGCCGGGCCGGGAGGGTGTCGCAGCAGCTGCCGGCCGAGAAGCGCAGCTGGCTCTTGCGCGAGTCGGCCGTGAGCGACACCTCGTGCGAGTAGGACTGGAGGAAGGCGCGCACGCCGTCGATGCCCACGAAGTGCGACACGGGCACGCCGCGCAGGGCGCCGCTGTCCGCCGGCAGCAGCTGCTGGCGGCGCCAGCGGCGCAGGCGCAGCGCCAGCAGCAGCAGCAGGAAGGCCACGAAGAGGCACGACACGGCGGCCACGGCCAGCACGAGCCAGCGCGTCAGGCTGGCGGCCGGCTCGCCCGGCGCCGCCGCCTCGGCGGCCGCGCTGCCCAGCTCGGCCAGCAGCTCGGCCACGCTCTCGGCCAGCACCACGCTCAGCGTGGCCGTGGCCGACAGCGCCGGCCGCCCGTGGTCCTTCACCAGCACCACCAGGCTCTGGCGCGCCGCGTCGCGGGCCAGCGGCGAGCGCGCCGTGCGCACCTCGCCGCTGTGCAGCCCCACGCGGAACAGCCCCGGCTCCGTGGCTTTGGCCAGCTCGTACGACAGCCACGCGTTCTGCCCCGCGTCCGCGTCCACCGCCACCACCTTGGCCACCAGCGCGCCGGCCTCCGACCAGCGCGGCGCCAGCTCCACGCCCGACCACGCAGCGCCCGAGCCCGCCGCTAAAGCCGGCGGCGGGTACAGCACCTGCGGCGCGTTGTCGTTCTCGTCCACGATCTGCAGCCGCACCGACACGTTGCTGCCCAGCGCCGGCGCGCCGCCGTCCTCCGCACGCACCCACAGCTGCAGCTCGCGCAGCTGCTCGTAGTCGAAGGAGCGCAGCGCGTACAGCGCGCCCGTCTCCGCCTGCACCGACACGTACGACGACAGCGCCGCGCCCCGCACCCGCCCCTCCGCCAGCCGGTACCGCACGCGCGCGTTCTGCCCCCAGTCCGCGTCCGTGGCGCGCACCCTCAGCACCAGCGCGCCCGCCGCGTTGTTCTCCGACAGCCGCGCGCTGTAGCGCTCCTCCGCGAACACCGGCGCGTTGTCGTTCACGTCCAGCACCCGCAGCGCCAGCACCGCGCTGCTCTGCAGAGGCGGCGACCCGCCGTCGGCAGCCCGCACCGTCACGTTGTACTCCGACACCTGCTCCCGGTCCAACTCTCTCGTCGTCACCACACTGTAATAATTGGCCTGCGAGCTTTGAAGCCGGAATGGGATGTCCATGTCGAGGGAGCACCGCACGTCACCGTTCGCCCCCGAGTCCCGGTCCTGCACGTACAAAAGGGCCACGGCAGTTCCCGAGGGGGCGTCTTCCGAGATCTCGCTTAGTGCCGACCGCACGGAAATCTCAGGTGCGTTGTCGTTGACGTCTGTCACAGTGATCACGACTTTCGCCGTATTGTAAAGAGCCCCACCATCATATGCCTGCAGGTCCAACTCGTAGGCATCACGTTCCTCGAAGTCCAGGCTTCGCCCCAGAGTGATTGCTCCAGTCTCAGAGTCCAGGTGAAATATCTGGGACGATGTCTTTTTTCTCTTAAAAGAGTATTTTACCTGCCCGTTCTGACCCTCGTCGGCGTCTGTAGCCGTGACAGTGAGGAGGACGGAGCCCACGGGCACGTCCTCGGGCACACGCACCGTGTACTCCGCCTGGCTGAACACGGGCGCGTTGTCGTTCACGTCCACCACGGTTACACGGATCCGAGCCGTGCCCGTCCGTGCCGGATCGCCGCCGTCCATCGCCCTCAGCACCAGCTCGTGAAACGCCGCCTCCTCCCGGTCCAGCGCCTTCGCCAGCACCAGCTCGGGACGCTGATCGCCGCCGGGGCCCGCCTGCACGGCCAGCGAGAAGTGCTCGTCGCCGCTCAGCTCGTAGCTCTGCAGGGAATTCCGGGCCAAGTCAGGGTCATGAGCCTCTGTCAGTGGAAACCGGGACCCCGGGGCTGTCATCTCGCTCATTCTCAGCTCTGTTTCTGCCTCTTGAAAGCTGGGTGCGTTGTCGTTAATATCGGCAATTTCTACTTCTATTCCATAGAAATTCATTTCCCCCTCCACTATCAGCTCACAGCGCAGCACGCATTGCTGCACACTCTCACACAGATGCTCTCTGTCGAACTTTTGCGCTGTCACTAAATGTCCTGTCTTCTCCTGTAAAGCGAAATACTGTGTTCTTCCCTCGGAGACAACGCGAACGCCGCGGTCGTTGATCTCCAACAGCTGCAGCCCCAGGTCCTTGGCCACGTCCCCCACGAACGAGCCCTTGGGCATCTCCTCGGGCACGGAGTAGCGCAGCTGCCCCCACGCCGCCTCCCACGCTGCCAGCAGCACGGCCCAGAGCAGAGCTCGCTGCCGCCGGCCCCAGCGCCTCCCCGCCGCGCACATCTCCGCTGCGGCACCGCAACACCCCGAGCAGCGCCCCACCGCCGACCGCCGATCTGCCTCACTGTCCTTCCCCAGCTCGCCGCTCCCGGCCGCTCCGCCGCCGCAGTCCCTCCGCTCGCTGCAGAACGGTTCCGTACCGCGGGGATGATCACAGACCGTCCTCCCGCCGGGCCACGAATCCGGCCAGCGAGTGATCGAGCGGATCCGCAGCGGGCGGGGCTGCAGCGCTCCGAGCTCCCGCTCGCTCCTCTCGGTCAACAGCGGCGCCCGCAGCCTCCTCCCGGCACTGCACGCACCGAGCGCTGCCGAGCGCTGCCGAGCGCTGCCCGCTCTGCCCACGGGCAGCTCGCGGGGACGGGATATTTGCCACGGAGACAATTTTCCCGTGCAGCGGTGACCCCCTGCACCGCCTTTTCTCCAGCCGATCTCTACTTTGGTCCTTGAGGGGATCACCATCGGGAGGAATGTCGAGGCATTCCGTGGGCGTGCTGCTTCAGTCGCAGGGGGTACTCATAAGTAACTAATGGCAATATATGTAAATTAAAGCATATTTTTTCCCATTTTAAGCTCTAGATTACCATTAGTCTTACGCTGTTTGTTCAAAAACTTCTTCAGCAACGGGGTCTGAGATTGAAAACATTAGATACACGCCCACACACACCGATAAACTGATCTATCAGGCTCATGAACATAAGCGGGACGAGAACAACTACATGCTTCTTGAAGTCAGTGACCTAATTGTCATATGATTATTACAGGTAGAAATAAAGATGCAGCTATTATTCTCAAAGGAAAACTTGACGGAATCAAGATCGTCTGTTAAATTTAGTGTTTCCTTACTTTTTACACATTTGCACCGCATCAAGTAATTCTATAGCCACAGGAAAAAGAATTTATAAGGAATCAACCTGCAAAGCATTGAAGTGTACTAAGAAAGTATATCAGGAAACAGGTTTCTTAATCAGATTGGTACAATATTAACAAGGAAAGTTTGTAGAACAGTAGAAGAAGAGTACAGTTACGCACTCGAATCTCTGCTGACCCATGAAAATTGTACAAATGAGTTTGATTCACATGCCTGAAGTGTCATTTGGCTAATCTCCTTGATACTCTCAGATGTCTATCCTTGTAAAAATCAGAAGTGGAAAAAACTATTGTTATCCAAAACCCCGACATCTCCATAAATCTCAAACTCCTAGGGTAAAGACGAAACGAAAATGAAAAACATCTGAAACAAACCTTTTTGTACCTTCACCTCTGTATGAAATAAATATCATGAAGAGTAAAACAGAGAACTGCCAGCCAGGATGCAAAAAGGAAGACGGCCCACTATTGCATTACGCTCTCGCCCCCAAAACGTGGGACATTCTTTTCTTTCACTCAAGAGGCAGAACATAGCACGTTACACACCCTTCCTTTATGACTCCAATGGGCAAAAAAACCCCATCAAATTAAACAGAAAAACCCAACCATTCATAAACGGATTTGTGTAAAGCTATGGACAAGTTTCAAATTCACTCTTTCTGAATAAAATCAGGAAAATATCTACAACATAATTTGTCTGTGGATTTTCTTTCTCTCCAATTCCATCGCACAGAATCAGTGGGTCTCCTAAACAGTAAGAAACCAAGTTCAATGATGGAAATCCATTTTAATTTAAAGAGCATGAGTTTTGAAAACAAAACGTCTTTCAATGAATTTCACTCTGTTAGCAAGGAAGACGCAGGTGCTACTGCTAGCCTCCTGTTTTCCATGAAAGGGGGATAGACCTTTCCTTAATTCAGTTTTTTAATTAATTTCCTTAATTCATGTAGACAGATGTGTGCCTCCCAGAACAGTATAACCCAGGAAAACAGGGAAACACTGTTTAAGTCAAAAAGAGTGTTATAGTCAAAACAGCTCGGCTGAAACGTAAGCCGATACCAAGGAAAGACCACAATTTTCCGCGGCTAAATTGAGACTCTAATGAGGATTTCTCATGGACAACACGCCGAGAAAACGATCGGAGAAAGGAAGATTATACGAAAGCCGCAATAACAGAACAAGCGCGCAGCATTACAGACCTGCCGTGCGTCAGGATCGGCGAGGGGCTCTCCCTTCAGGGCGTTGCTGCTCGGGCTCGGCTTCTCGCAGGAATCCCCGCCCAGAAGCTCCTCCGCCGACAGAACGGGCACCGGCGGCGGCGGCGGCCAAGCGGCCTCGGGCACGGCGCGGGCCGGCGCCGCCACGCACAGGTTGTAGGAGTAGGGCAAGGTGCCCTCGCAGAAGTCGGCCGGGAAGGCGGCGCCGGCCACCGAGAAGCGCTGCGCGCCCAGGCAGCGCAGCACGGCGGGCGGCCCGGCCCGGCGCAGCCGCGCCAGCACGGCCAGCGCCACGCTCAGCACCAAGAGCGCCGAGAGCAGCGCCAGCGCCAGCACCAGGTAGAACTGCAGCTCGGCCGCCGCCGCCGCCTCCTCGGCGCCCGCCGCCCGCTCGCTCAGCTCCGGCAGCGCCTCCTGCAAGCTCTCGGCCAGCACCACGTGCAGCGTGGCCGTGGCCGACAGCGCCGGCTGCCCGTGGTCCTTCACCACGGCCACCACTCGCTGCTTGGCCGCGTCCCGCTCGGACACGGCCCGCGCCGTGCGCACCTCGCCGCTGTGCAGCCCCACGCGGAACAGCGCCGGCTCCGACGCCTGCACCAGCTCGTACGACAGCCACGCGTTGCGCCCCGCGTCCGCGTCCACCGCCACCACCTTGGCCACCAGGTAGCCGGCCTCGGCCGAACGCGGCACCACCTCGAAAGGAGGCGCCGCCCCTGCCGCAGCCTCGCCCGCCGCCGCCGCCGCCGCCGCCGGCCACAGCACCCGGGGCGCGTTGTCGTTGCGGTCCAACACGAAGACGCGCACCGTGGCCGTGGAGCTGCGCGCCGGCGAACCGCCGTCCTGCGCCCGCACCGCCAGCGTGAACTCGCGGCACTGCTCGTAGTCCAAGGAGCGCTGCGCGTACAGCGCGCCGCTCCGCGCCTCCACCGACACGAGCGGCGCCGCGCCCGCCGCGCCCGCGCTGCCGCCCGCCAGCCAGTAGCTCACGCGCCCGTTGGCGCCCGCGTCCGCGTCCCGCGCCTGCACGCGCAGCACCAGCGCGCCCGCCGCGTTGTTCTCCGCCACGTACGCGCTGTACGCCGCCTCCTCGAACACCGGCGCGTTGTCGTTCACGTCCGACACCTCCAGCACCAGCTCCCTGCTGCTCCACAGCGCCGGCCTGCCCCGGTCCCGGGCCACCACCGTCACGCGGTGCTCGGACGCCTGCTCTCGGTCCAGCGTGCCCGATATCACCACCTTGTACGAGCCGCCCGAGGATGACACAATCGACAGCGGCGCCTCTCCCGACAGCTCGCACGACACCTGACCGTTGTCACCCGAATCTCTGTCCCTCACTTTCAGCAGGGCCACCACGGTGCCCACCGGGGCGTCCTCGGGCACCGGGCTCGAGAGCGATAGGATCGTGATCTCAGGAGGATTGTCATTTACGTCCAGGACCTCCACCTCCACCTTGGAGTGTGCCACTAAACCCCCTCCGTCCTTCGCCTCCACAGCCAGGCTATACGCGCAGGTCTCCTCAAAGTCCAGTGCCTCCTGCAGCGTGATAGACCCGCTCTCTGCATTGAGCACGAACTTCTGAAGTGCCTTGATTGTCATTTCCCCGAAGCCATAGGTGATGCGGGCGTTGGTGCCTGCATCGGCATCCGAGGCTGAGAGGTTCAGTACTGCCGAACCCGGCGGCGCGTCCTCTCGCAGGGTCACGCGGTAGCGGTCCTGCTCGAAAATGGGTCGGTTGTCATTTGCGTCCGTCACGTTCACCCGAATCTTAACAGATCCGGACCTCACAGGGTCCCCGCCATCAATCGCCGTCAGCAACAGATCAAAGGAGCTCTGCTTCTCTCGGTCCAACGCTCTCTCCAGAATTATTTCCGGCTTGCTTCCATCCGGGGTCTCCTTCATGGCCAGAGAGAAGGTTGGGTTGCTGGTTAGTTGGTAAGTTAGTAGTGAATTGCTGCCCACGTCAGCATCATGGGCCACCTCCAGTGGAAAAGCTGTCCCGGGAGGAATCCATTCACCAATCTCGAGGTCCAAAGCAGCCTTCCTGAAGGCCGGGGAGTTGTCATTCACGTCCTCAATCACCACTTCAACGTGGAAAATGTTCAGCGGGTTATGCACCAGCGCCTCGAAGCTGACCGAGCAGGTCGCCGACTCGCCGCACATCTCCTCCCGGTCCAGCCTCTCGTTCACGTACAGGTTCCCGTTCTCCTCACTCACCGTGAAGTATTGCTTCTCCTCGCTCAGCCGCAGCTTGCGCGCCGGCAGCTCGTCCGCGCTGAGCCCCAGGTCCCGCGCCAGCGGCCCCACGAGCGAGCCTCTGCCCAGCTCCTCGGGGATGGCGTAGCGGAGCCGCTCGGCCGCCGCCCGGCAGCACACGCACAGCAGCACCGCGGCCAGCAGCGCTCGCCCGCCGCCCGGCCCGCGCCTCTGCCGCCGCCTCACCGCCATTCTCTGCCGCCGGCGCTCGCCGCGCTCCTGCCTCCTGCCGCTGCCCCGCTTCCCTTCCAGCCGCTCTCGCCACGCAGCGCAGGGGCCGCCGCAGCGCAGCCAGCCCGCTCGGGCCGCCTCTCCCCGCCGCCGCCGCCGCCGCTGCTGCTGCCGGTGGCGGTGCCGCTGCCGCTGCGGCCGGCGCCGGGCGAGCGAGCAGCCTGCGGGGGCAGGACGCTGCGGCGGCGGCGGCGGCGGCTCCAGCGCCGCTCGGCGGCGGCCAACAGCGGCACCCGGAGGCGCCGCCGCGCCACTGCAGCCGCCGCATGGCCGCGCTCAAGGGGGCCCGGCCCGGCCCGGGCGGGGCTCGGCGGCTGCACCGGCCCCGGGCTCGGTCCCCGATTGCAAACAGCAAGAGCCGACCCACTTGCTTAACGACAAGTAGGAACCCTTATGATTACATCAGCAATATCCATGTGAGAACGATTTAATTGTTTGTAGCTGCAATACACATGGAAACAAGTATTACACCTTACCAAAGTTTTTTCCACACTCTGGTTTCAGATAGCACAAAAATCAGAAAGGAAATATGTGCTCCTAAAATACAAATTGGTTCTCTCATACGCAGTCTAGGAATTGAAGCCTATATCTAAAAGCAACATTGCTGAGATAATTTACAATTTAATTGTTCCAGTGCTACTTCAGATATTGTTTGCTCATCACCTGTGCAAAATCCATGTAAATCAAAAAGACGCTTTTACAGTGATTAACACTTGCAGAGAAATATGAAGCCAAGAAATGTCAATCTGCTCTCAGATAAATGACAATGTGCATACAAATGGCAGAGAATAAGAAAGTGCAAAGCAGAACAGACTGTGCCTTGTGTCTGTCCTTAGACTGACTCTCCTTCCATACAGAAAACCATCTGTGCTTTCGCTGGAAACTCAAAAAAAAGGCCTGCTACAATTATTGATTTAATATTTCCATAGTTTTAATTTTCCTAACCTTTAGGCAAAAGTCTCAACATCTCCCCACTCCGTTTTAGGACTGCAAAATCAGCGGAATGGTTTTCAATGAATTCTGAAGATTCATATGCAAACCCCAAACTTGCATCTGTCCCCATCAGAGAGGCGGACATAGTTCAGTGCTGTGGTTTTTCTGGTGCTTCACCACAACACAGCCTTAAAAATTCTTTCCCAGATCATGTGGAAACTCACTGAGGCCTCAAGGTGCAAATTAGGCAAGAAGCAGGAATATTAAAGGACTATGAGGTCTCTCTGACTGGACTAAATGACTTTACTAACAACAGAACAACAGAAATGCTTGGCACTTACAATAGCAAAGAAGCTAAACAAAATACCTCCCACTGCCATCCATGGGGCCAAGCCATGGCTACTGTGATACATCAGGGCCTGAGCAGTGCAGGAAATCACTGACAAAAGCACGTTGCTCTGTAGTCCTCAGAGACACAAGAAGAATCCCCAGGTAAGTGGAATTGGACAACAACATTTTACAGCTAACCACTTGAGTTAAGCAATTTTTCATTTTCCTCACACACAGCATTCCGTCTTCATTTGATTCTCAATGGAAGTCACTACTTCCTGCAAAGCAGCACTCATGAGGGGGAAAGAAACATGAACCATGGCCTTCCAGGAAACAGAGCCTGAACTGAGATCCAAGGTGGAAAATGTAATTATGAACTATCAAGCTATGCATTTCCCCTCTTATCACATGCACAGATCCACAAAGATGTGACTTCTCCTAAGGTCATTTTTATATCTCCTAACAGATGATAAAATGAGAACAGAGATTAACCCCCTTCACAGGTACTCATTCCACATCAGCTGTAATAACATGTCAAGGGAAAAAAAAAACCAAAAAGCAAACATACAAAAAAAACCCCGAAAACTACAAGAACAACACAGAAGCATTGCAGGGATTTAATAGGAGTTCTTTCAGAGAAACTCACCAGGAGGAAATCTCAGCCTTTTCTGTGGACAAGGAAATTCATCCCTGAGAGCACCTGGGTGTGACCTTGAAATCTTCTTCTGGACTACAAGTGTGACTTGACTGCATTAAACACTCAAGAGCTCTCATCAGCTTTCCTGGCCTGGTCATGCTCCATAAATTTGAAGGCCTGACTTTGAAGGCCTTAATTTAAAGGCCTAACTAAGTTTGAAGGCCTAACAAAATTTAAAGGCCTAACGAAGTATAAAAGGCCAAACTAATTTAAGGGCCTAACAGATTTTGAAGGCCTAACTAAGTTTGTAGGCCTAACTAAGTTTAAAGGCCTAACTTTGAAGGCCTAACAAAGTTTAAAGGCCTAACAAAGGTTGAAGGCCTAACTTTGAAGGCCTAACTTGTGTAAGCTGTAACAAGTACATAAGAAACACATATAATATACACAGGTAAGTCCCTCCAAGTAATTTCTTTGCAGAAAAAGCAAAGAAAAATGCACAGAACCATAACTATGTGATCCATATGACACCTAGGGAAAACTGAAAATCTACACCAACCCTTTAGATTTATCAGCAACTCTTTCACCTGCCCTGTCTCTGTGCAGGCAGAATGCTCAGACATCACCCAACAGGGACCCCTTTGCAGACAGACACCACTGGAAGAAGTTTTCCACACAACTTCTCCTTATGGAGAACAGGGATCACAGCACAGGTCCACTCATATGGACTCTGCTCAAGACTGATACTTGAAGAAATGTAACATGTTCCAACAGTCATAAGCAATATGCAACTCAATTAAAGACTCAGATCACAATCAACTCAAAGACATCATCATTCTTCCTAAGCACATGGACATTCTAGAATATATGTCACTCTGTAACCATTAACATGACGTTTTTGTCCACATCCAAGAGCTACCACTCATAGGGAAGAGGTGTATCAGACATGACAGAAGAAAAAATGAGTGACTTTCTGGCACATGCTTCAAATAAAAAGCCCCAAACCCAGACTCTGCAGGTAAAATCGACTCTCCCATCCCTACAATCCTATCAATTTCACTACCAACAAACCATCAGCAGTAACATCATACAAGCAAGAGCCATTAATAACATCTGAAGGTCTGCTCAAGGCTTGGGAAAGCTTAGTACAACCACAATGAAACTCTACCTCATAACTCTAACAAGGACATATAGCTGGGGAAATGATATTTCCCACAGCATTTCTTAGACACAGAAGCCCTGAAGCATGCACTTCCCTGGGCATTGATAGCAGACAAATTCATTGGAGGATTGCCATCCATCTCTGGACATGGGAAAAGGGCACTTGCTATAAGTGGCACAGGCCATGGCACTAGGCATGGCATGAAGGCACACTCAGATTACTGGATCATAGAACCCACCTTTGTCTGCTTAGGGGCCAGTCTCTCCCTGGGGCCAATCTCTCTCTGACAAGTAAGATCAGTGATTCTATTTTCAGATAAAGTTTCAGACACACACAGGCCCACCTTTACCTGGTCATGACAAACAAGTCAGTGGTTCAACTATCATTCACAGAGAGCGCCCCATTACAGGAAAGCAAATGTATGAATCCACAGCTTGGTCATGTATAATCTGAGCATATTCGTTTTATGTAGTCCAGCAATAGACCATGCAAGTTAAAAAAGCACCTGCTTTCTCTCCAGGAGTATTACCTCATACACTGCACCTGCAAGAGTCTCCTCAAACTCGTTACAGATTGTATGGCTCTCTCTGATCTGTACCATTCGCAGATGTACTCCACTGAAGAAAAAGTTCTAGAGACAACTTGCCATGGCCAATATTTGACTTCTTAACGTGTGCACGTGAGAAATAAGACAATTTCTCCCATTAAAAATTGAAGGAAACACATCTATCAATGTCTTTCCCTGTCGAGTTGTAAAAATGAAAGGCATGTCGGGGACACCCAAGCAAATGTAAGAGCTGTGATAAGATACTACCAGATACAAAGGCCCAGCTTGAGATCAACCCAAAGAATAGGACAATAAGATAACATCTGCAGAAATGAAGGGATCACGCTCCTCTGGATTAGGACTCTTGGAGGAAATACATAATATAAATATGAAAAGTAGGGATGTAATGAATTTCCTTATTGCAAGCTTGCATTGTGACATTTCAGATTGGAATATTTAAGGCTATTAATTAAACACATTAATGTGTAAATACCCAACGGGTCTCAATAGAACTGCAGTAATATCTGTTAAAACACACATATTGGGAAGGAGCAAATTGCATTACATTATACTACAGATGGACACTGAAACCTTGTATCCATTAGCAGTCATTCACACACAGAGCCCAGTATTTGCATCTCCTGCCTCTAAAATCCTGCATATTGTTTCTTGACCTTGATACTTGGAAAGCAGCTTCCATCAAAAGGCTGCTATTCAGACCATTTCCCTTCAATATGCACCAGATAACCTATGGCCTTCAAACAGCTATCCTTATAACTCTGCACTAAGAGGAAAGAAATATTTGTCTGCCAAATATAGCTCAGAGAAGAAGCAGGAAGGAGATTAAACACTACCTCTCCATCAAAAGATACTGAGGAAGTGAGGATCATATGATACAGAAACAGCTTCATAAAAAAAGCCCTGCAGCCAAGAGCAGCTCCCTTATCATGCAACCCTCACAAGCTGAAAAGCTCGGACCCAGCCCATGTCCATCATGGTGCAGCAAGAAGTCCCGCAATCAGCACGTCCCTAAAAGATACTTTTCCATCCTTGTCAGCAAACATCGATCTGAAGGACACAGAAAACGCCGGAAATGAGCAGACAAGCAACAGGTTAAAGAATAGTGGAGAAAAACTGGTACGGGGAACTCACCGGGCCAGAGGCGGAATCCACGGGACGAGCGCCGGCAGGATCCTCGTCGCCGAGCAGCGGCGCGGGCTCGTCGGGCGGCGGCCGGGCCGGGAGGGTGTCGCAGCAGCTGCCGGCCGAGAAGCGCAGCTGGCTCTTGCGCGAGTCGGCCGTGAGCGACACCTCGTGCGAGTAGGACTGGAGGAAGGCGCGCACGCCGTCGATGCCCACGAAGTGCGACACGGGCACGCCGCGCAGGGCGCCGCTGTCCGCCGGCAGCAGCTGCTGGCGGCGCCAGCGGCGCAGGCGCAGCGCCAGCAGCAGCAGCAGGAAGGCCACGAAGAGGCACGACACGGCGGCCACGGCCAGCACGAGCCAGCGCGTCAGGCTGGCGGCCGGCTCGCCCGGCGCCGCCGCCTCGGCGGCCGCGCTGCCCAGCTCGGCCAGCAGCTCGGCCACGCTCTCGGCCAGCACCACGCTCAGCGTGGCCGTGGCCGACAGCGCCGGCCGCCCGTGGTCCTTCACCAGCACCACCAGGCTCTGGCGCGCCGCGTCGCGGGCCAGCGGCGAGCGCGCCGTGCGCACCTCGCCGCTGTGCAGCCCCACGCGGAACAGCCCCGGCTCCGTGGCCTTGGCCAGCTCGTACGACAGCCACGCGTTCTGCCCCGCGTCCGCGTCCACCGCCACCACCTTGGCCACCAGCGCGCCGGCCTCCGACCAGCGCGGCGCCAGCTCCACGCCCGACCACGCAGCGCCCGAGCCCGCCGCTAAAGCCGGCGGCGGGTACAGCACCTGCGGCGCGTTGTCGTTCTCGTCCACGATCTGCAGCCGCACCGACACGTTGCTGCCCAGCGCCGGCGCGCCGCCGTCCTCCGCACGCACCCACAGCTGCAGCTCGCGCAGCTGCTCGTAGTCGAAGGAGCGCAGCGCGTACAGCGCGCCCGTCTCCGCCTGCACCGACACGTACGACGACAGCGCCGCGCCCCGCACCCGCCCCTCCGCCAGCCGGTACCGCACGCGCGCGTTCTGCCCCCAGTCCGCGTCCGTGGCGCGCACCCTCAGCACCAGCGCGCCCGCCGCGTTGTTCTCCGACAGCCGCGCGCTGTAGCGCTCCTCCGCGAACACCGGCGCGTTGTCGTTCACGTCCAGCACCCGCAGCGCCAGCACCGCGCTGCTCTGCAGCGCCGGCGACCCGCCGTCGGCAGCCCGCACCGTCACGTTGTACTCCGACACCTGCTCCCGGTCCAGCTCTCTCGCTGTCACCACGCTGTAGTAATTGGCCTGCGAGCTTTGAAGTCGGAAAGGGACGTCTTTGTCGAGCGCGCAGCGCACCTCGCCATTCACCCCCGAGTCATGGTCCTGTACGTACAAAAGGGCCACGACAGTTCCCGAGGGGGCGTCTTCCGAGATCTCGCTTAATGCCGAACGCAGGAAAATTTCAGGTGCGTTATCGTTGACGTCTGTTACAGTGATCAGGACTTTCGCTATGTCGGGAAGTTCCCCTCCGTCTCGAACCTGTATCTCCAGTTCGTAGGAAGTACCTTCCTCGAAGTCTAAGTTATGCATCAACGTGATTGCTCCCGTTTCAGCGTCCAGATGGAATATCTTTAACGCTTTCTCAGAAACCGTTTGGTAAGAATATTTTACTTGCCCGTTGAGACCTTCATCAGCATCTGTGGCCGTGACAGTGACAAGGGTGTAGCCCACGGGCACGTCCTCGGGCACACGCACCGTGTACTCCGCCTGGCTGAACACGGGCGCGTTGTCGTTCGCGTCCAGCACCGTCACGCGGATCCGAGCCGTGCCCGTCCGTGCCGGATCGCCGCCGTCCATCGCCCTCAGCACCAGCTCGTGAAACGCCGCCTCCTCCCGGTCCAGCGCCTTCGCCAGCACCAGCTCGGGACGCTGATCGCCGCCGGGGCCCGCCTGCACGGCCAGCGAGAAGTGCTCGTCGCCGCTCAGCTCGTAGCTCTGCAGGGAATTCCGGCCCGAGTCAGGATCGTGAGCCCTTGCAAGGGGAAACCGTCCACCGGGGGCTGTCATCTCGCTAATTTTTAACTCTAGTTCTGCCTCTCTGAAACTGGGCGCATTGTCGTTAATGTCTGTGATTTCCACTTCTATTCGGTAAACCTGCATCTGTCCCTCCACTATCAGTTCACAGCGCAGCACGCATTGCTGCACACGCTCACACAGCTGCTCTCTGTCGATCCTCTCTGCCGTCACTAAATGTCCCGTCTTCCCGTGCAGAGAGAAATATTGAATCCTACCTCTTTCTGTAATATGGAGACCGCGGTCTCGGATAGCCGCGAGCTGCAGCCCCAGGTCCTTGACCACGTCGCCCACGAACGAGCCCTTGGGCATCTCCTCGGGCACGGAGTAGCGCAGCTGCCCCCACGCCGCCTCCCACGCTGCCAGCAGCACGGCCCAGAGCAGAGCTCGCTGCCGCCGGCCCCAGCGCCTCCCCGCCGCGCACATCTCCGCCGCAGACAGCTCCCCACCGCCGATCACCGATGACCCTCACGCTTTCAGGCCCTGCCGCCGTTGTCTCCGCTTCGCTGCAGGTCGGTTCCGCGCTGCCGGAACGATCACAGACCGCTCGGCCGCCGAGCTAGGAATGAAGCGATCGAGTGACAGAGCCGATCTGCAGCGGGCGGGGCTGCGGCGCTCCGAGCTCCCGCTCGCTCCTCTCGGTCAGCAGCGGCGCCCGCAGCCTCCTCCCGGCACTGCAAGCACCGAGCGCTGCCGAGCGCCGCGGTCCTGCCTTTCCCACGGGCTGCTCGCGGCGACGGGACATTCGCCACGGAGACGTCGACCCTATTTCGCTTTTCTCCCCGACCCTTAATTGATCATCACCGGAAGAAATATAGAGTTTCCCTGTGGTTTTTCTTTTTCTACCGCCCGGGAATAGTCGCTTACTAACACCGATATATCTCAAGTGATAAAGATTCTCATAATACGACGAGCGTAGTCTTATGAATCTTATATTACTAGTCCGAAAGTACAATCTCCATCACGATTTTCTGTAGCAATCATTTTTGTATAGACCAAGGAAACGGACTCTGAATTAGGAAACTTGATATTCAGACCGTCACTCGGAGATACACAGCTATCAGGCTTATTAACACATATTTGCCATAAGCAATTAACACGTATTTCTTTAAGTACTTCGTTTTTATCCCACTCTTCTGGTTGCAGGGAATCCAAACAATCAAACAAAAAACAACAAGAACAACCAATAAACAAACCAAACACTAAACAACCGCAAATTAGAAAGAATGCCTGGGATAATTAACCGGTCTCTCTGGAATACAATTGTTGCAGACACTTTATCTTAAAACATGGCCTATATTTTCGTCCTTCAGCTGGGAGGAAAGACCAATAACTTCTCTGTCCCGAAGAGAACGTGTAAATTAAACGAAGGGAAAAAAAATAAATCCAGCACCAAGCATCAAGTCTATTTCCCCTATTCCGTCTTTCAAAGTACTTGTATCTGATTATATAGAATAGGAATTAGTGTTCAACATTAAAATGAGAAGCTGTATGAAAAATACGAAAATTCATGTCTGGATAAAATCTATCTGTTCATTAATGCTGCCATCTAGGTGGCAGCCTTCTGCAAAACATCAGAACACACATGGTGGAACAGCAGAACATTCTCTAGGGAGGAGCAACCTGTAGTATTTCTTTGGGAAACAGCAATACCAACGATTTTGCTTTAGAGAAACCGTGCGTGGAAGAAAACCGCCGAGTGCTACCATTTCTGAATCAGCTTTCCAGCAAAGCATGACACACGCCAGAACTTTTATAAGGATTATCAAATAACTTCCAACAGCACAAATGCAAAAGTCAACATTTGTTCAATGCTAAAACAGGTCCAAGTACATGAGTACAGGGAAAAAGGAATGCAAAGAAAAAAATTCAAAAACGAAGCACCTATACTAGTTTCTATAAGGGAAGATCACTAATTTAGCGCATTCAGGACTCAAACCGAGACCTCTTGTCAATACCTCTGAGGTACTAAGACCAAATAAACAAATACCACGGCTGTCTACTTGCTGAGAGTGGAAGGAGGATACAGTATTTCGCTCCTGCCACGACTAATAAAGTACTCGAACAACACCAGGCGGAAAAAGAAAAACAAAGGAAAAAGGAAACCATGGCACAAAAAAGTACAAGGAGAACAACAGTATTCAGGTTTTACAGACCTGCGATGAGTCGGCAGCAGCGGGCAGCTCTCCCGACAGGGCGCTGCTGCTGGGATTCGGCTTCTCGCAGGAATCACCGCCCAGAAGCTCCTCCGCCGACAGGACGGGCACCGGCGGCGGCGGCGGCCAAGCGGCCTCGGGCACGGCGCGGGCCGGCGCCGCCACGCACAGGTTGTAGGAGTAGGGCAAGGTGCCCTCGCAGAAGTCGGCCGGGAAGGCGGCGCCGGCCACCGAGAAGCGCTGCGCGCCCAGGCAGCGCAGCACGGCGGGCGGCCCGGCCCGGCGCAGCCGCGCCAGCACGGCCAGCGCCACGCTCAGCACCAAGAGCGCCGAGAGCAGCGCCAGCGCCAGCACCAGGTAGAACTGCAGCTCGGCCGCCGCCGCCGCCTCCTCGGCGCCCGCCGCCCGCTCGCTCAGCTCCGGCAGCGCCTCCTGCAAGCTCTCGGCCAGCACCACGTGCAGCGTGGCCGTGGCCGACAGCGCCGGCTGCCCGTGGTCCTTCACCACGGCCACCACTCGCTGCTTGGCCGCGTCCCGCTCGGACACGGCCCGCGCCGTGCGCACCTCGCCGCTGTGCAGCCCCACGCGGAACAGCGCCGGCTCCGACGCCTGCACCAGCTCGTACGACAGCCACGCGTTGCGCCCCGCGTCCGCGTCCACCGCCACCACCTTGGCCACCAGGTAGCCGGCCTCGGCCGAACGCGGCACCACCTCGAAAGGAGGCGCCGCCCCTGCCGCAGCCTCGCCCGCCGCCGCCGCCGCCGCCGCCGGCCACAGCACCCGGGGCGCGTTGTCGTTGCGGTCCAACACGAAGACGCGCACCGTGGCCGTGGAGCTGCGCGCCGGCGAACCGCCGTCCTGCGCCCGCACCGCCAGCGTGAACTCGCGGCACTGCTCGTAGTCCAAGGAGCGCTGCGCGTACAGCGCGCCGCTCCGCGCCTCCACCGACACGAGCGGCGCCGCGCCCGCCGCGCCCGCGCTGCCGCCCGCCAGCCAGTAGCTCACGCGCCCGTTGGCGCCCGCGTCCGCGTCCCGCGCCTGCACGCGCAGCACCAGCGCGCCCGCCGCGTTGTTCTCCGCCACGTACGCGCTGTACGCCGCCTCCTCGAACACCGGCGCGTTGTCGTTCACGTCCGACACCTCCAGCACCAGCTCCCTGCTGCTCCACAGCGCCGGCCTGCCCCGGTCCCGGGCCACCACCGTCACGCGGTGCTCGGACGCCTGCTCTCGGTCTAGCGCGCCCGCCGTCACCACCTTGTACGAGCCGCCCGACGACGCCACGATCGACAGCGGCGCCTCTCCCGACAGCTCGCACGACACCTGACCGTTCTCGCCCGAGTCCAGGTCATTTATGTTCAAGAGAGCTACCACGGTGCCCACCAGAGCGTCTTCGGGCACCGGGCTCGAGAGCGACAGAATCGTGATCTCAGGTGGGTTGTCATTTACATCCAACACCTCCACCTCCACCTTGGAGTGTGCCACCAAACCGCCGCCATCCGTCGCCTCCACAGTCAGGCTGAACATTCGCGTGTCCTCGAAGTCCAGAGCTTCCTGCAGGGTGATCATTCCTCTCTGGGCATCTAGTGTGAACTTCTGAAGCACTTTAGTCGGCATTTTCCCGAAACCGTAGGAAATGTGTGCGTTGGTGCCGGCGTCGGCATCACAGGCAGAGACGTTCAGCACTATCGATCCCGGAGGCGTGTCCTCACGCAGGCTGACGCGGTACCCGTCCTGCGCGAACACGGGTGGGTTGTCATTGGCATCGGTGACGTTGATCCAGAGCTGGGCGGTGCCTGTCCGGGGCGGGTCTCCCCCATCCAGCGCAGTCAGCAGCAGCCGCAGGCTCGGCTCGCTCTCCCGGTCCAGTGAGTGGCGCAGCACCAGCTCCGCGGATTTGCTGCCGTCTTGGCTCTCTTTCACCTCCACCGTGAAATACCCATTCGCCTCCAGCTCATAGCCTTGCAGTGAGTTACTACCCGTGTCCGGATCCTCTGCCATACCCAAGTAAAACCGGGCACCGGGAGAAGTAAACTCGTTGATCTCCAGTTGGAAACTGTCTTGAAGGAAGCGGGGCGTGTTGTCATTCACATCCTCGATCACCACTTCAACGTGGAAAATGTTCAGAGGGTTGTGAACCAGCGCCTCGAAGCTGACGGAGCAGGTCTCCAACTTGCCGCACATCTGCTCCCGGTCCAGCCTCTCGTTCACGTACAGGTTCCCGTTCTCACTCACCGTGAAGTATTTCAGCTGCTTCTTGCCGGCAGACGCCACCTGCAGCTTGCGCGCCGGCAGCTCGTCCGCGCTGAGCCCCAGGTCCCGCGCCAGCGGCCCCACGAGCGAGCCTCTGCCCAGCTCCTCGGGGATGGCGTAGCGGAGCCGCTCGGCCGCCGCCCGGCAGCACACGCACAGCAGCACCGCGGCCAGCAGCGCGACCCGCCCAGCGCCTGCCCTGCCCTGCGCTGCCGATCTGACCTCCATTCCCTTCTTTCCTGAAGGGTATTCTGTAGACGGGTAAAAATTAGCCTTTCCGGGTAGCTGAACCAGTATTCGAGAGAAATAAATATAAGAAATCCCTGTTGCAGATCAGAGGACGGGCTGAGTCGAGCGGTTCCTGCTTTTCTCTCTGCTCTGCGCAGTGCGGAGCAGCAATACGCGGACGCCGGGGAGGAGCCGGCGGCTGAGCAGCTTCTCCGCCTTGGCCAACAGTGACACCCTGAGTCCGTGCCTGAAAACCGCAGCGTGCAAGAAAAAGAACAGTAAGAAGGTCCTGTCCTGCATTCCCTTGCATCGGGAATGATTGGAAAATACAGATATGGTCAGGAGCGAGAAACAGAAAGTCTATCAGTCCTGAAACCGTGCATCTAGGAATTCCTTTTGTCTGAATTGCAAGTCTTTTGTCGGACAGATCTTCTCCCTTTTCTTGAGGGATGTGGGGCAGGACCTTGGTCTCTGTGCCACTGTCAGCGTACTGATCTCTTGGGTGGAGCGCTCGGCGTCCCCGCTGACATCATGCCGCCTCCGTGAGCGAAAAGGCAAGGCGGATCGAATACTGAAACACTGATTTGGGTTTATTTATTATAGCTGAGATCCCCAGATAACACTAAGGTTTTCAGCTTTGAACAGTGGTCGTTGATGGACAAGCGGAGCCATGGGAAGCCTGGGAATCCCAGGCTCTGAGAACACCACAGCGGTCACATCAGACCTGATCCCATCTCTTTTGACATTCAAAGCTCAGCATCATCTTATCAGAACCCATGCAACCCAACCCCGAATTCCTCGTGTGTGTATCCCACAAACCACTCCCTGATATTCTAAACAGGCAGATGCTGTATCTGTTCTCAGGCGTTAAAGAACATTTACTGGAAAATATCGGCAGCAGCTTTGTTTGCTTGAACAACCAAGAGTAAACAGACAAATTCCTTGCAAAA